GCTTTTGTCCAGTGAGTTGTGACTGGAAGTGCAAGCCCTTCAGAACTTTTTTTCACTCAGGCACAGAAATGGAAATGTCCGGGCTGACCCATTAGCTTGGGTCTCCAGGTGTTTATGAAAAAGCAAAGCCTTTCTGCCAAGCTGTGATGGACGTACACTGTGAGAAATCTACATTTGTTGTTTTAAGCCACTGAAATTTTTTTTTTTAAGATTTTATTTCTCGTTTTTCTCCCCAAAGCCCCCTGGTACATAGCTGTGCATTTCTAGTTGTGGGTCCTTCTAGTTGTGGCATGCGGGATGCCCCCTCAGCATGGCCCGATGAGCGGTGCCATGTCTGCACCCAGGATCCGAACTGGCGAAACCCTGGGCCCCTGAAGCAGAGCTCGAGAACTTAACCACTCAGCCACGGGGCCACCGAGATTTGATGACGTTTCGTTACTGCAGCGATACCTAGCCTACCCTATTGATATTGCATCTTTTTTTCTATTTCCCACTGTGATTCTGCACTGCCCATTTTCTGCCAACTGTATCATGGCCAAACAATTCCACTCTAGTGCACTTTGCTACTCTTCTTCCCCTCCTGCTTGTGAGGAAACACCCTTTACTTCTTTTGACCCTCTGTCAGAGGAGGTACCCACAGGGATGTTGGGGCCCTGATGAGAGTATGGCTTCTTTATATCCCAGGCATTATCTCAAAGAATACAGCTACTGGGCCCTGGGAGGGAGAAAGGTAAAGCACAGATTTTCAAAGCAATTTTACCTACAACCACCACCCATTCCAAAATTTTTGCCCTGATATTTCATTTGTCACCTGCTGCTAGACTTATCCTTCACTTAAAAATTTTATTTCAGAGCCCAAGATGTTTCTTCCTCCTGACTCCCGTGGCTTATTTCAACGATCCCTTTCCCCAAACCATGAGACTGCTTAGAGCTCTGATAGATGTCGTACAAGGTGGCAGTATGTCCCAGTACAAGGAATTTGACAGAGAAAATCTTCATAAACTGAATGTGAGAGGACAAAAAAATGGACAGCTTTGCTCTTTATGGAGGACTTTCTATCAATGGACTAAAGTGGTGGTTCTCAACCAGAGAATGATTTTGCCTCCCAGGAAATATTATACAATATCAAGAGACGTTTTCAGTTGTCACAACTTGAAACGGTGTTACTACTGGCATCTAGTAGGTAGCCTGGGCTAAAGTCAAAATTTAATTAGGAATTTGTGTCTTTAATTAGAAATTTGCTACTTTGGATGCTGCCATGTGACTCCTCTTTAAACACAACATATTATCTCTACTTGCCACCAACGAGAAGAGTAAGACAAAGGAAATGCACATACTAGCAGAAAATAGCATTGCCACAATAGTCACCAAAACACTTGGGCAAGTTCTATATTTTAACAATCACTTGTTACCTGATTAAAAGAGGGGAAGATTGACTCTCTCCTAAAAGATGCTGTAACTTATTTAATCATTCTCTTAAGAAAGACCTGAGTCTTGCAAGCTTAATCATAATGTAGTCTCACAAAGTTACAAAGCATATCTGAATCATAGTTTATTTGGGAAAAAAAAAAAAAGGACTATGAGATTTAAAAAAAAAATGTTGGCCTTAATTTTCAATGCTCCTGAGGGCCTGAAATGAGGATACAGAACAAGATCTCTTGTTCTCCTAAACAGAAGTTGAGCCAATAACATAGGGTACTTTATGAGCCAAATAATGTCTGGTGTCCCGGAGCTAAAGAAAATGTTGGCACATCTTGCAAAATCACAGCTGTTTCAGTCTCATTTAGTGGCTGGTCCCACTCTCTGCAGCCCAGTTTGTCTTTTGAAATATAGCACAGCTAGCTATTCTGGAGCATGTGATTAAAGCCACTGACAAGGGAGGTTTTCTTTATTTTTTAGCTCTTTGTCTGCAAAGCTTTAGAAATCTTGACAAGTCCTGCTAAGAAATAGACTACTTTTTTAGAAAAATGATGCATAGAGATTTCCTAATGTACACATAATTGTGCATATTTTTATCAACAAACTAAATGTACTTTGGAATCATGAGGGGAAAAGAGAGCTTTCTAAGATTAAAAAAAAAAAAAGTTGAACTAATTTAACTCTATGCAATGATGCTGTAAGAAAGGATTTCTGTGACTCCATTCACTTACCACATGCATTTGTAGGTTGCAAAACAGGGTCTGCCAGCAACTCCTCTGAGTCAGATCTTTCTGACAGCAAAGCCTTATCTCAGGGGACTACAGAGCTTTAAAAATTAGGGAAGATGCCATATTTCGACTTAAGTCAGCAATGCCCGAATGAGAAGAGGGGTAAAAGGTGAATGCATGTAGATACTCTGAATTCTTCTGATGGGAAAAGTTAATTCATTTGTTTAGAAAATTGTTTATTAAAGCAAGCATTATGCTCATGCCCAGAAAACCATTGGCAATAAATCAAATAACTCCATTTAATTGTATACATTAACTTAACTACCCTCATATGCTATAAAATAAGTGACTATCTGGGATCTTTTGTATAGATGAGCCAAAAAAATCAGGTAACTGACAATCTTTAAAAAAATTAAAGGATTTAGTAAAAGTAAACTCAAAGGATTTCATTCTCTAGTTGATTAAGTGAATGATAGTGAATTTGGGACTGACGGCATGAGCTGGAAATAGTAAAGTATTACTAAAGACAATGGTCCCTCAATTTTTTTTGGTATCTCATTAAATACTTCAAATAAAGTTTAAGTAATTTTAAATCAAGCTTAAATCATTTTTAAAAATTATTTAAATAATTTTTTTCCAGAACCTAAGTTTTCACCTTTGTATAAAAACAAAACTTTTAAAACGTATTAGGTGTAGATCTTTCTAAAGTGTATAATATTACTTCCCACCTTCTTAAATACACTGTACAGCAAGGGTTCTTAACCGTGAGAGATCATAGACCTGAGAGGGAGGAGTTCCATAAATGGTTGTCCCAGAATCCAAAAGCTCTTTGAAATTATTTGCAGAATTATGTAGACAGGCTGTACTTTTAATCAGCTTCTCAAAATGATCCAGAACTTACTTATGTGAGAGTGTTTTTGATTAATCAGGGTTTTCATTATGATCATTGACTATTGTACCACCATATTGGAACACAGTGTTGTCCTCAGGACATATTAAGATGAATAGGTCTCTTTGTCCAGCCACAAAAATGACTTCAAATTGTCACTTTAAGCAGTAATGTCAACAATAGATTAAAGATAGAGTGAAACTCACTGTGAGTACAAAATCCTCCCTCTTTAGAAGTTTAAGAGTTCGTTTCTGGACACTCCTCAAAGAATTGATTTCCTCAACTTTTTTCTACTAATGCCATAACTTAAAGTCTAATTACAGGTCTCAAGTGATGATTAACTGACTAAAAGTTACTTATTAATTTGTACATCCACACTGCCTAGCACATAGCATGACACATTGTAGAGTCTCGATCAACTGTGCAATGTGATTATCAAAAGTTTCACAGTATGAGAAAATTCCCTGCTTATTTCACTCACTGCCACTTCACCAAAAATGTGCCCTAAAATTATTAGTACACATGAATATGCCCATGTAAGACCTTCAGGGTTTATTAAGCTAGTGTTTCCTATTTTACTGCTATAGACAATGAAATCTCTGAGAAAGTTTTGGCTTTCTAACTTTCAAAATCAGTTCCAACACTGAAGATTCTAGATCAGCCATTTCTGTAAATTTAGACAAGTAACTTCACCTCATTAAGCCTCAGTTTCTCCATCCAGAAGTTAAGGATGTTGGACAAGATGCTGATCACATTGTACCATTCAGTTCTTAAATCATGTAACTATGTTTTGACAGTTTGTTAAAGCAAAATTTTCAAAAATTTAAAATCATGCCTCTTGAACAAATAAAATCATATGACACTGCAGTCAAAAGTTTATTAAAGCAAAAGTTTCAAAAAGGTAAAACTGTGACTTCTATGTAAACGTAAAATGAACATACGTCAAAGATTTTATTCAAATAACTAATAAACAAGGTGAACCGGTAAGATGGAGAAGGCATTCAAAGAGTATTTCAAAAGCTAAATATTTATAGGCAATGTTAGGATAAGATTGCTGGACTAGATATAAAACTGGTTAATGTCCAACAGGGTAATAAACTATGAAACCATTAGGGTTGTCTTTTCCACCAGACAGACATTATTTGCATCTCTATGGGATAAAAAGCAACAGGTTAACCTCTGCCCTACAACATTGTTCAAGATCCCAGTCAATACGCAGTCAAGCCCAGCATTGCACTGAAAGGAGACTCACAAATCTCTCTGGCTATTTCCAAGTGTCAGATAATTCTTTTGATAAGTTGAATTATGTTTCATGAATAAAAGTTCTTGATTCTTGATGATACCATTTAGTTTGTGAAGGAAGGTCTTTATTTGACCCATGTACCATTTCTATATCATATTTTCAGACTAGTACCCTAAATGTGCCTTACTTTGTTTTGTGCTGAGATAAACATTAGGATTTCATAAGATAGTGTGTAGATGAATCTACATCTAGGTTATTTTATTCATTAGATACAATGTAATGTATATTTAAAGGTGCAATGGAATAAACAAGCTACTACACACGTTCAGAGATTACACATATGTTGAGAATGTCTAATATTTTATATTTTGACAAATTCCATGAGTGCCTAATAAACTTAACAAATATGAATGCTATAAAGAAAACTTTAAACATAATTGTAAGACTCACCCCAAAGAAAAGAAAGCCAAAAATTAAATATTCTCTTATAGTTTATGGTATCTGTTAACTAGTTTGCATACCGCCTAAAACAATGCGATATGTGCACCAAGAGGAGGCATATTATCACTAATAATGATATCAAATATATGCATACACAAACACAATCCAATAAAATTCTTGACTATTCAACTGTTTCTTTTATCATGGATAAAGGTAGCAAACATTCCTCCATACTTAACTTCTGAAAAGTAACCCATCTACAAAAGAAAAAGCACGCATCTTTCATTTCTAATATTTTTATTATAGTTTTAAGATATGTGTTTATTTTCATATCATCAGCTTAAAGAAAATAAATCACACAAGAGTAAGCTTTTGTATGTCTGCCAAGGTAAATTGCTCTATTTTAAATTTATCAAGTTATAAATAAGCCACATAATGCGCTTATGTGAACCAAACCACAGCATAATCTGAGTACATTTGAGAGGCATAGAGTATTCTCATTGTTTCAGTAACAGAAAAGAGGAGCAATACTTATTATTAGAATTAAATGCCTGGCCTTCAGCTACCCATTATTCAAAAACAATACAGCATGAATTATTTACTGGTTATAAAACAAAATACATTCTTAAAAAGCAAAGGTGACTAAAATAAACATGTGTTCCTGGAACTTTTATTTAATATTAAGCATTTTGGAATAACTGGAGGCAAACAAACAAAGTCAGACCCACATATGGGAGGACCAAACTGCCAACAGCAGTGTAGCTTGAGACACAAAATTAAACCTCGCTTCTAAGGAGCCTGGAATTCCCACCACCACTATCACAAATTTGGATAAAGATGGTATAGTCCATAAAAAGCACATTATAATGCAAATATGCCACCTTGATAAGACAAGGTATAAGGCAACTTGACAGAATCACTTCAAGTCAGCGGCTCAAAGTAGAAGCTGCGTCTCAAAACTTTTGTCAGGCCAATTTTCCATTAATACGTTGATTAATGAGAGAAAAAGGGATCTTAAAAAGCCCAAACATAGCAGGTAAACCTGGAGACTAAGGAGAGCCAGAGAGTATTCTGAAAGTGTGGGACCAGAGGGAGGCACTCAGGGCACAGAGCGGCAAACAGAGAGGAGAACAGTCTGAAGACCAACGCTCCAAGGGTCAGCCCAGCAAATAAGGGTGCTGAAAAGTAGTACTTGAATTTGAGCCTAGAAAAGTTACAGTTAGATAATCAAATAATCCCTTTCACCTTGGTCTATCTTCTCTTGTACTTAACATGTTATTTTGACATTTTGTCCCTATGTACTTTAATAAATTAGAATCTATAGATACGTTCTTTTTAAAAAACTTCACCCTTATTGTAATGTCCTTAATAGTTCGAAGTTACAGTGGTACTGAGTTAGCCTTGATCAGAACACAGAAAATGGGGTGCTCTTTAGCAATAACACACAGAACTGAGAAAACAGAGGATGTATGTATTATGAACATTTTTAAATTGTATTTTTAAACATTCCGGGAAAGGAGTTAGTATATCAGCTTTTAAATAAGGGGTGGGATGTGTGGGTGTGGAAGGGTAATGAGTTGTTTGAGATTTGAAACTTCTATAAGAACATCTATCATCCATGATGACGTGGGTATCTTCCAAGGACATGAAGACACAGCACGTGAATACTATGTGCCCTCATCCTTCCACCTAATTAAAAAGTTGGTAGAGGGAGTTTGGGGATAATTATTTGAGGCTTAATATTGCCCAAATTTGCTGTTTTAGTTCTAGTCATGCACTTTCATTGAGGAGAACTCAACAGTCAGGTTTTAATTTATTTTGTTCATATTTCTCATATTGGAATAAGCCAAAAAATATATTTAAACACATTCAATATCTGGTCCTATTGTCAATATCTGGCCAATATCAATTAAATTGGTTTAAATATAATTACACAAAACAAATTTCAAGAACTTTACTATTATCAATAAAATGTATAGAAGTTATAATACATCCTTCATAAAAATGACAAAATTGTTTTTAAAAATCTATTGAAAAAAAGATAACTCTATAAGTACAGTTTCAAATAGGTAACTTTATACCTTAAAATTGCTTCATTTCTAAGCTACTAGACATAAATTGGGCCAAAATTGAGAGAGCAAAACTACCTAATGTATAAATTGTCAAATTTGGATGGTTTCTATACTGACAACAAAATAAATTTCTAAAAAGGAATGGAAAAGGTGATTCTCGCTGCTCAGAATCACAGAGATGGCTGCATTTATAGATACAATAGAATATATACTGATGTGTTTGCAAATAACCCACCATCTCTGTTTAGAATTAGTGTACGCTCTGATGTTTTTGCAGATCGTGAGCCTCAGCTTTCCAATGTAGAGTTGTCTCTGGGTAGTGTGGGACTGCTCTGTTTTAACAATCAGAAACAGAAGAACGTCAAAAACCATTCCCATTAGTATTTGGTCAGACCAGTCAATGTGGCATAAAATATGGTTTATTAAGGGAATCATTACCTCTGGTTTACCCTGTTCTATTAAACGACATGACAAATATTTTAACAAAGCTAGCTGGCATGTTCATTGCAATCATTCTGTAATCAGATGTTAAGACTCACATGACATGTGACACGATGTTAGAGACAAATATAAGCAAATGTTTTTGGAGGAGTGTGTTTTTGAAAAGCTTTTAAAGTCTGCTTATAGTGCTCAGGCCTATCATCTATACTTGGTTAAATTCATTTATTTTATATATTTCATCTACATTGCCTCATTCCTAGAATGGCTTGAGGTTTGCATACTTGATTTAAAAACAAAAACGAAAATGCATAAATATATCTAGTACCCTAGCCAGAAGATTCTTTTGTTATTCATTCATAGGCAGCACTTTGGCCCCGTGTGCATTGATGTAGGTAAGAAGGATTTTGGCTCTCTGTTCTATTACATCGATAAGTTTTTCAATTCCTTGTCTACCCCCTTGACTTTCCCAATAAACTTTATCAAGAAACAGAGACTGAAGGAGTTTCTGCCGTAAGTGCTGGCTCTTCAAAACAGAAACTGCAGATTCGGGAAACCTGAAAAGATAAGATGATATTTTATTCTTCGTATTTGCTTGGAAACATTATGCCGTACCCAATTATTCTGCCCTTCATTAATCTGGCATAAATCACACTATCAAATAGTACCTTGAGAATCAAAACATTTTTGTCATTGTCAAGCTGACAGTTCTCCATAATAATATAGTAGAAGAATACGTTTCAAGGGAGCTGAATTTTCTATGTCATTGAGAGCTTGACATACTAACATCTCACTTAAGGTCATTATATGTAGGCAAAGAGAGGCATAGAAATAAAAAGGATTCTGCCAGTCTGGCAAAAATACTTTCCTCAATCTTCAGCTCCATTTCACCCATAGAAACCACTTTAATCTGTCAGGTAGAATGGTATCCTTATAAGTGTCAACGTGTGGTTTTATGCAAGAAAATATGAGAAGCGAAATGCTGACAATTTCAATAAAGTACTCTTCCTGAGTAGAAGTTGCATGAGTGAATTTAATGTAAAATAATCCAAAATATATATAGTAAAAAGAGAAAGGAATCATTGCAAAATGCCCAATTAAATAAAGAATTGCCTTTGATTCCGGTTATACTTCAGGAATTCTGAGGATCTGGGGGCATTTTATTAACCTGGAATACTAAATTGTTTTCAAATAAATTCAGCAAATCTCAAGTTTTCGAGCCAGGGCATTCCACAATGAAACATCCCCCCAGAAAGCCTGAAGCTAGTTTAGAAGTATCCTTGCTGAATGGCCTTCAGAGGGTGTATTGTGCTTTCTGCCCTTCATTTAGAAAGTATAAAGCTCGGGGTCTTGCGCACATATTATCTGAAGGACTTGGTAAAATTTCTGGTTCAAAATGATAAGTAATGTTTTGCTGAATCTCCAATTTGGCCTCTCTCAGCTTTCATTAACATGCTGATGAAAGCATAGTAAAAATACAAGTATTTAATAGCCATTTTCAAGTAAACTAATTTGTCCCTTAAAAACTAAAATAAGAACGTAGACTTGTTTGAAGAGTACAGTTTGCCAGAAGTTTCAGGCCTTCTAAGCACCTTTTTGAAATTTCAATGGTGCGAGCTGGGGATGGCCCTCAGGGGGCATGAATACCAGGGATCCAGGTGCACCAGCACTTCTGATGCTGGGGAAAGACCAAAGGCCACAGAGCTGGATGTGCTTAATGAGTCTGAGTAAGTGTGGAATTCAATAATGCTAAGATGCTCTGAGCTCCCTGAAGACATGTACTATTTAATTTAGTAGCCACAGTATTAATTAAGCAGGCATTTTTGCTCTATGAGGTATTAATAATTTATGACATAAATTCTATGGCCCTTCAACTAATTTAGCTGTGGCAGGATGTATGAGATGAAACTGAGATGATCTCTTTAGTGACAAATCTTTTTCACAAAGGAAAATCAAAAAATTACCTGTCTTTGCATTACATTGATTAACAGGAATATTCTATGCATAAATCTGGCTCAGTAGTAAAGTCTTCATTTTTGCTTTTCAATGTGTGAATTACGTATTCAAAGATTTCACTTTAAACTCATTACTCCTCAAAATGCACTTAAAGTGAAATCTTTGAAAGCATAAATAAAACAGGATTCATATTTATCTGAATGTATGGAATGAATGGACTGTATTCTCTAGACACTCGTAGTTCTAAGAGGAAATTTAGGAATTCAAGAAGACCCTGTAATATCAGCTCAGTAAGGCATGCCTTAGGTATGTAAATTTTCCTACCCATAAAATTTCCTTAATTTAGACACATAAAAGAGAGGATGTGCTGTAGATCTCATCTTGAATCCACAAAGAGACATGAGGAGTGGGTCTTAACAGGGCAAGACACGGCAAAAACTCATGAAATTGGGGTTCATGAAACTCGCATAGAAAGAATATGGCCTCTAGTGTTGAAAGTGCATAAAATCCTCATTACCTAATTCATAGTGCTGGAAAGAACCACTGAAATTTGCTTCAGAGTATTATTAACAAGAGTAGTAGTACCAGCATGAACACCACAAGTTATTGCAGGAAAATTATTGGCCTTGGCTTTGGAAGACCTGAGTTCCACCCTCAATTTTAGACTTGCTCATATGCTGCCCAGAAGTCAGTTAGCTTCACACAGCTGGCTAACTCTTTTATGAATGCACTCCTCTATTATCAAGTCTCAGACATAGCCCAACTTCATAGTCCCTCTGATTTCTGACCAAGGTGAGAATAATATGAAGAGTAGCTATGAGGTGGAGCCTGACATCTAGCCTATAGTGGGATTCCTGCCACTATTAAGTGTTTTTGTTTCCTTTATTTCCAAAGAGATGTAAGCTCAAGATATTTTTTTCCATAATCTATGTGTACGGGAAGGATTTCCAAATGCTCAAAAAACTCTCCTACCTGGATTAAACAGCCACTGTCCTTTGATACCATGTTCTACTTGGCAGGTTGCCTCTCATTTTCCACCACATTCATAAAAGTCACTCGAGTTTATTATGCCTTTGGACATCCTACCATGTCATTATCTGCATGTCTGATAGTTCCCCTGTCCCATGCCCTAATAACAGAGCCTCTGTCACCTGTTTATTCCTGCTCTGCTAGTTCCTATTCCAGAGATAGGTGGAATGGTATCCTTATAAGTGTCAACGTGTGGCTTTATGCAAGAAAATATGAGAAGCAAAATGCTGACAATTTCAATAAAGTACTCTTCCTGCATGCTTCCAACCCAATCCATATGGATTTTCACAGAGAGGGCCAAGCAACATGATGGATGTGAATGTAGTGGGAGCTTTGTAGGTTGCATGGGTCGGTGATAGTGACACCCTGGCTGCACACTTGTTCTGTTCCATGTGGGTTTGTTTCCTTCTTCTGAGCCTCCATTCCCAGCTTCCACATCCACAATTCCTTTCGACTAGACATGAAGTGTGAGTTTTCTCAAAACGTTACTAATTATTTAATATAAACGATGTCCTGCAAATGTTACTATATCATAAAACTTACTCTTTGATGCCTTCTAGCAATTTGAAGTTTAAGTTATCTTCACTTCTGTCAAAGAAGCCCTTGTTGTCTATAAAGACCAGATGCCTTGGGTCATGCTTTCGCTGGATAATGTGTGCTAGAGCCACAGCATCTTGGTTGTCACATTTGGGCCTCAGTCCATTCTGTACACAGGCATCCTCCTTTCGAGGTCTGAATCCACAGCAATTTGAATCTAAGCGATTATAAATCTGAAAATGGAAAACAAAAACAAAATCCAAGATGCTGAGTAAAAACAAAACTTGGGAAAGTTAGAAGATTTCTAAAGAACTAGCGCTTTTTAAATAGCTGACTTGCCAGACTCTAATAGGGCCAAGCTCATTTAATTAAAGGCAACTGTCAGAATAAGTCCAAGGTTCACATCCTTCTGACTCAGCTATGGTTTTAAGCATTTCCAGCCTTCTGCTAACAGGTCCAAAGTTAGATCAGCCAGGCAAGACATCTCCACCCTTAATATTCAAGGTTCCCACTGATATCACGTGTAGATACAGGCCAGAAGAATCTCTGACTCTGTTCATGACAAAAGATAGAAAACTTGTGCTGTTACATATCCAGAAGGCTATATCTTGTTTTCTCCCTCAGGTTGAGTTATCGAAAACCTGAGTTATCTCAGTGGTTCTACAAGTTTATGCAACTCCTAACCTCTCTGGATTTCAGTATGATATCTAATCTGAAATAACATAGAACAAATCTATCGAAAAGTTATGAGATCCAATAATGATAACTAAAAACACTAGCTGTATGGAGCCCACAACTAGATTCTAAAGAAGTGAGCAGAATTAACAAAACTATTGGTCCTATTGGGGTTTATTACGGGGAATTGAGCTACTCCCTATAGAAGAAGTTAAACAGAGATTAATTATGAGAGAACTGGGTTATTTCCATTTCTTTTGGGCAAGGAAAGAAATAAAATTTTTTAATCAGGGTAAATTAGAGCCTGGGCTCAGGAGTTAGACAAATTTAAGGTCAAATCTCCATTTTCACACTTAGCTCTGCAACCTTGTGTAGATTCCTTTACAACGCTGGCTCTCAATTTAGTTACCTGCATAATGGGCATGAAAGTATTCACCTTGCATGGCTAGTGGGAAGATCAACAAAAATGTTTGTATACCCTCCAGCCCCGACCCAGGCATCTAGAAGATACTCAAAAAATGAAAACTGTTATTACCACTGTTGGGACACACACATACACATGTTATGAAGTGATTTACCTCCAAACAAGTTTCCAAGGCAAAAGGTAATTTCTCCATTTTAATAAAGGAAAACTGAGCATCAAAGAGATTAAATAATCTGCTCTGAGTGGAATATTAGTAAGTAGCGAAGTTAAGATTTAGACACAGTTGCGTTTGTCTCCAAAATTCCATGATTCCCCCCGCCCCAAATAAGTCATGTAAATAGTTTAAGGCTGGTAGAAGATTGTAAATATGATCATGATTCAAAAGATGGCTAGACACAGACTGTCACTTTTATTCTTTTAGCACTACATTCCCATCCTTTCTCCTCCTCCTGTGTTTTTGCAAATCCTGTGAGGCTAGCCACTCTGGGGGGCCAGTTGCTAATAAAGGAATACAGAAATAGTACCACCAAAATTTACCCTACTTTGAAAATGATCATTCATTCAACAAATGTTTTTTGAACATCCTCCACCACCTATCAGTGAGCTAGGCACCAAGGCAAATGTGGTCCATAGCCAGCACATCCCCACCACCTCTACTTCCAGAGGAAAAGGAAGTGGTCATTTAATTTTGCCTTACTACCTCAGCACACTTTAAGAACTGGGCAAATGAACTTCCTCTCTGTTTTCTGCACATAAGTGGACTTTGTATCAAATAGCAAACTTTGAGAAGCCGGGATTATAAGAGAAGTTAGCATAAGCCAATTTTCTATGAATTTTATGTAAAACCAGTCACATGAGGTAGGGAAGGTCAGTGAACCACCAAGTATTTGGACAGCTCAGAGGGTACACTGCTGGTCTAGAAACAATCTACAGATAAGGGAGGCCTCCGTCAGGATCGGTTCCAGGCAGCTGATCCATGGGGCCATGAGTCTAACCAATGGTTTATCCAAAAGGTCACACAGGCTGACTCCAGGCAACAGTAAGTTCCCACTGCTAGTTAAAGTGCATGTGTTTGACATGAGGATAGCAAAGTTTCCCAAAGGTAAGTCGCCATAGGTTAAATGAAAAAAAGCATAACTTAGAAAACACTAGAAAAATTTATTGAGCCGTTTCTCAAACAATTTCATTCATTTTATGTAGTACTCTGACTGCTTTTGAATATAAGAGAAACCAAACAAAATAAAGAGATTGCATCTGATTGCCAGTTATTTAAATTAAGATCAAGGGGTCAGGGAGAACATAAAAAATAACTCTTCTAGAAGCTGCTTCTCATCTAATCTCCCTTTTTTAATACACATCAGTTAATAATTCTCAAAGAATCTCTATATCATTTTTCCATCATCATTGTATGTTTATATCTAGTTATAACGACATTACATGTGGGAAACAAACTAAATCCTATTTAACGTGACTACAACATCAGGGTCGGTTATGTTGCATAAATGCATTTAGAACTTAACTTTAAAGGACAAATCTACCAACCACTTCTGAAATAGAGCTCTGAACCCTAAGCTCTTTCTTCATTGTTGATTTCATAGTAGTGGGGAAAGGACTAAGATGTATAGCTACATTTCTGTTGTTTCTACAATAAAGCCATGAGTATCATATACAGTAAGGTTAAATAATAAGCACTTCGAAGTTTAGGCCCTAACCCTCAGTATCTCTGTAAATATTTTACTTCTCTATTTTTAAACTACAAGCCAGCATTAAAAGTTGAAGATAGAAAAGATCAATTTAGGTCATCTTTTTATTGCCTTCCCAACATAAGATTGTTTCCTACAGTATATTTTTAAAGTGTTTTGTCTGATCTAATTTTGAGTCACTCAACAGTCTGTGATGATTTCACCACTTCCCCGACAGACTGCTGTGCCATTCAAGTCTAACAGACCTTATTATTGAAAACGACTGTGTGTGTTCAGCTCAACTTCTCTTCCAGAAAATTTTTACTACTCCTTTTATTCTGATCTCTTCATGTTCTTGGTGGGTATGTTAACATGTGTTGAGTGTGTGTGTGTACACCTATAGATATAGAATCAGATTGTAAGGCCTCAAATAATCTGGGTTTGATTTTGTTTTTCTTATTCTCCCACTACAGTAAATTATGTCTTTGCATTATTGCCCTTGTCCAGCAAGGGCTTAAATAGCTCTTAAATCTTGTTCCCTAGCTCTTCTCAGAATTTAGTTTACAGTCTTCCTTTTGAATTCACATTCAATATACCAAAAATAATTTGACTGCAAAACCATAATCCACTCGCTTATATGCAGCACCATTCTCCTTGTCATTTAATTTAGTTACATTGAATATACTTCTGCTTACTTTTAAGAGAGTTTACCTATTTTTCAAAGCCTAAGAAAGCATATCCTAGATAGCTATGAATCCATAACATGGTTTTAACATGCTTGTTTAGTGCATATTAAAACAGTCGTTTCATTTACCTATCACATGATTAAGCACTGTAGTTCACATCTATGTGTCTATGTTCTTAGATAATTATCCTACAAAGAAGATTACTTGAGGGTAAATTTTGTCAGTTAAATGATTATAAGTGTTGATCATCATTATTGCAGCTTGTTCAAATTCACATCTCTCACTCCTCAAAACAAGGAAAATCTTTTGCAAAACTGATATGAATCTGAAGATTACTGCCAATGATCATTTTCCATAAGATTACTCTTTCCTCTTTTAGGAAAATATATCTTTTCAATGTTTACCTAACTAAAATTAAACTCAGAAAAATCCAGGTGTTCCAGCCAAATTTTTTTGGTGGTGGGGATATTTTTAGATATATTGCCTTCTTCTAAAGTATTTTTTAAAATTCCATTTTCCTTTTTGTAGTGTGAGTTTTGCCCGTAGGAAAAAGCGTCTTAGGAGTGACTCAAGTTATGTTCACAAAGCCCAAACAAGGATGCTTCTGCTGCACTGACCAGCTCTCCAAAGCCCATTAGAAACTCACAGAAATCCCATGACTTTTCACTCTTTTGCACAACACCCATTCCAGCTGTGTCCTCAAAAAGTGAATCTATCAAAGCAATTGTAGTAGTTTCTTTATATCTCCTTTTTCCTCAAAACAATGTGATTGAATTACTAATTTCAGGCAACGCCTGAATAAAGGCAATAAAAAATATTCTAAAAGTGCTGCTAATATTCATAATGAAGAACATAATAGCACTCATTGATTATTTACTATGTGCCAGGAACTGTACTCTTAATACTTTACACGTATTATTTCATTTAATCCTCATAGCAATGTGAACACATAGGTGCTACCAATAGTTCCATTTGGTAAATGAGGCATCTGAGGCACAAAGAAGCTAGTTGACTGACCCAAGTTCCCTCGGCTCATAAATGACAGAACTCAGGATTCTAAACCAGATGTCTATGACTTCAAGTCCATGCTCTTATCCATCCTGACTATATCTCTCGGGAACAGCCTCCAAGGTGGTACTATAAAAAAAGCAGGTGCATTTGTGTAGAATGTTAAATGATACCAGGTTCCATAAACATTCGTTTCAACAGAAATACAAAGAACTTCAGTGGAGGAGTTCAGTGAAAAACTCAAGAAGGAGAAGATATTACAGTTGGGTTTTTTGTTTTTTGTTTTTTTTTTTTCTTGAGGAAGATTAGCCCTGAGCTAACATCTGCTGCCAATCCTCCGCTTTTTGCTGAGGAAGACTGGCCCTGAGCTAACATCCGTGCCCATCTTCCTCTACTTTATTTGTGGGATGCCTGCCACAGCATGGCTTACAAAGTGGTGCCATGTCCGCACCTGGGATCCGAACAGGCGAACCACAGACTGCTGATGCAGAATGTGCAAACTTAACTAGTGCGCCACTGGGCCAACCCCTACGGTTGGATTTTAAGAGACAAGCAGTATTAGCTAAAAAATAGGGAAAGGTATGAAGGTAGAAAATCAGAGATATCTTTAGAGAAACTGAAAGTATCTTAGACCAAGGCTTCTCAAACTGTCTGTAGTGAAAGACCAGGTGTTTTTGTTTTGTCTCTCCCCCGGCTCCACAACCCATGTGATCTGTTGCTTTGTCAAAATAAATAAATGAATAAGATAATTTATTACT